ATTATTGTAAGGCAGATCATAAATAATTTTTATTGTATTTAACAATCCATAAGGCATCAGCATTCTCTTTGGGCGACATTTGTGTGCCACCGATGGCGAATGTGCTGAAAGTATTTCTAGAAAATGGCCAAACAAAGTCATTTAAGTACGATGCGACCACCTCTGTACAGGTATTCAATTATAATGTTATAAATTATGCTTATGTAGTTTGGTATTGCTATTATGTATATACATATATACATATCTATGTATGTATATGGTTTGCTGGAATAACTTTATTCCAGATTGTAGAGTTGTCTACTTTGATTATTTGCTTTGGCTAAAAATTGACTGTTTTCTCTGAATGTAATAAATAGAAGAGGGGAATGTAGCATGAAAACACAATTAACATCTAATGAGAGTTACGTCAACTAAATATGTTTTTCTCAACACTTGATTTGGTAATGCACAGTTATGTAAATTATTGTTATAGTTACCAAATCTTGTGTTGAGAGAAACATATTCAGCCGACTATTTTCTCAGTGTACATCCATATATACATATTAGATGTGACACTATCCGTGAATTCGGATATCCGTTCGGACATTCGTTCCTTTTTGTTATCCGGATATTCTAAAAAGTTTTTGGACGGATTCGTAAATTGTTCTCAAAATTACTGCATCCTTTGAGTTGCAAAATAAGTAATAGAAGGCTTCATTCATTCAAAAACAATTGTTAGCTCTGATCCAGTGTTGGCAAAATGTTAAACTGATTAACGATTAAAAATTAACAATTAAAATGTTAATCGCGATTATTGATTAAAATTAATTAATCGTAATCACTCTTCTGTTGGAATAGATCTTTATGGAAATGCCCACCAATTGCTTTGGTTGAGGAGGAAAACCGACTTAGCCATACCTTATTAACTGGCCTTCTGTGCAAAGGAAAATTCCAGCATAAATTAAATAATCACCAAACCCACTTAATCAAATTGAGGTTTATTGATTAAAAATTAATTTGTTTAGTCTCGATTACGATTAATTCTTTAATCAGATTAAAATAATTCATGATTAACTATAATCGGATTGAATTTAATCGAATTAACTAATTGATTAAAAAAATCAATCGATTAGTGCCAACACTGCTCTGATCCAATACTTTTCATGTAAAACCCTCTAAAAATATCAAACAGCAAAATTACTCTGAAGTGAGAGTAAAAACATTAACCAGTGATCGCTAGGCAGTGATCGGACTTATACCACATTGTGGTAGATCTGCCACTTTTTTGAGCATCTACCACATCTACCACTCAAGGTCTGAAATCTACCACATATTCGCATTTTTGAGTAGTTTTATTTTTGCTTGACATAAGTAAACAAATCCGAATGGGAGGATAAAATAAATTGTAAAATAGACAGAAAACACGTTTTTATTGTGTTAACTTGCAAAATATATGATTTATAAAAATAATTAATAGCACACTGCCCGTAATTCCTTTTTATTTTACAATATATGCATTTAAAATCAGTCGCACAGCTCACAATTGAAAATTAAAATTAAAAAAATTTAAACTTTGAATAGTATAGGTTAAGAGTTGACATTTCAGAGAAATGTCGAAATCACTTCTACTTTGTTATGCCTTTGGTCTAAATCATGATAGAAGCATAGCAAGGTAGAACCGTCCTCTCAATTTGTCGGCCATGATTTTTTTTTTTGAAGTTTGCCAGCATTTTAAAATTGTATATAAATAATTGAAAATAAAAAAAATTGAAATTGTTCGAAATTGTTGTTGCTTGATATTGAAAATTAAAATGTATGTGAGAGTTGGTGAGTAAATTTAAAAATTAAATTGCTTGGAAACGTCAGGAATTTTAAAAGTGCCTCTCAGCGGTTCTGCCTTACTATATTTTTATCATGGTCACCTCAGATAAAGATTAATAAAATATCTACTGTCACTCACAAAATTGAGCGTATGGCTCTTTTTTGTTAATACTCGCAATGCTTTACGTTCCTAAATCTTTTTGTTTATTTTGTATTAAAATATGGCTTATATTTTAGCAAGCCCCATTTAAATCCAAGAATGAAAGAATTCAGGTATGCAGTTTTATAGCCTTATAGCCCATTAAATTTTAGTATAATAATGTGCAAATCTAAAGTGTCTAAAAAATCGCGTTGTTTTTTCAGAACTTTTTGCTGGCTGTTCTACGCATTTTTTCCATATAAAAAATTTTCAGAATTTTTTTTTAACAATATACATATATATATATATGCCTCAAGAAAATTTTGAAACCCATTTTGAGGGCACCGTTCGCTCGAGTTCAATGAAACATACACCGATTTGAAGGATATAACTTCCTCTAATCCAGAAATGTTAATCACGTTACGTAGGGGGCGTGGCATCTGACACACAGACTAATATGTGAAAACCAATATATATCTATAAGACCAATTACGCTGGGGAACCGAAACTTAGCACGGGTGCATAAATTCTAAATACTCTACTTACGCCGAAAAATTGTATGTATTCTAAAAGGAGGCGTGGCATCTCACATAAAAACTCAAATTCTCATATCGCTTATCTCTGGAACCGCTTATGCTAAAGCCCTGAAATTTGACACAGCAACATATGTTATCAATACCGTACTAAAGGCGAAAGGTGGTAGATTTTGGAAAAAAGGCGAGGCATCTCCGATACAAACATAACTTTTCATATCGCTTATCTGTGTAATCACTTATGATAAGGGAAAGGAATTTGATACACCTACATCTATATTCATATGAAATGAAAATAATCATTCAATTGGGAACCATTTTTACCGGATTTCTAATCGCATTGCATGATTCTTATATTGTAAATATTGGGGTTTAGCCCAATCTTGACAAAACCCCGTGTGAAACTGCCGTTAGAAAAGGATATAATATATTTTGCTTTACACCTCCTAGGTACTTTCTTAACCTCTAACGATTCTGATGAAAAGAAAGAAGAGTTTATGCAGATGTTAGCAATTTAGTTTTTAACCTTCCAAAAGGATATCCGACCTATATAATCGAAAAACGTATTTATAGCCTGAATCGGTATATGTTTAACATATTAGTCAATGGGCATTTCATCTATACATACAAACATATACTCATATTTTTTATAAATTAAAATCCAGATTCCGTTCTGGGTCTAATTTAGAAAGCTAGTTAGGAAATTAGGTTTAAAATTTTCCTGTAAATTTGCTATAACTTTTGATGGTGGACTTCAAAAAGGGCATTCGCATAAACGAGTCAATATGGGTGACATGCAAAATTCAAAAGTGTATAAAAAACTGTCGAATTTCGACAAATGGACGATACTAGTGAGCATAATTGCGCCTATTTGTGTGTCTCCAAAGTATTTCATTTATTAGTACCCACTTGACTAAAGCGAGGCATAAATGTTTACACGACTTATCAAATGCGCAGATTTAAACTTCCCAATCTATCGATTTTGGTGCAAAAGTGTTATGGGAGAAAAAACCGACCTAGTTTGAAAACTTACTTTGAGAAAGATGTTCGTCCTTGGCAAGTCCTAAACACAGCAAAAATAGACCTACACTACCTCCTGGAATGAAAGGGCATATACATATGTGACAACGATGACTAATTCTCGCACCAACATCAACATGTAGCCCGATCCAAATAGTCGCTGCAATTTTTGTTGTTTCTTAATTTTTTGTTATGGTTCCATAGGCCGAGGCCACGCAATGAGCGGCTGAGTGGCGCCATACAGAAATGGCCACTTCAATAGTATTTCATATGTTTTAATTTTAAGCCGCTCATTCCGTGGTCTCGGCCTTACTATAGTGTTTCTTTTTATGCGCCTCACTGTGTCATCCCATCTTCTTTGGTACACGTTATGTATGCGAATAGATCTTGCATAGAATGGTTATCTGGAGGGTCCCCATAGCCTTCTTATTTGCCTTGCATATGAGCACCGAAACCCATATCGCCAGAACAATTTGGGTTAGAATCTAGTCTTCGGCTTTAAGCCTAGAAATCCTGTAAAGTCCAATTAAGACACAATGCCTGAAAAGTTTGGTGCATTATATTAAAATATTATTCGATTTCACTTCATATGTACTGAATGCATAGCTAGCTGGTGCAAGTGATAGGAACTTTTTCAGCACCTAATGACTCTTGGCCTAGCAAAAGATTATAAACTATTATTTACCACCTAAACGAACGAAAACGGTAAGATCTAAGCGCCGCCAGATATAACTTATTTTCGAAGTAACAAAATATTTATACTAATGCACTTAAGAATGTACATACGTGTATCTACTTGCTTGGGTAGGCGGCCCATTGACAGCAAGCAGGTAGGGAAGGTACGTAAAAACGTTTCTTACCCTTGTTAAAGTTGAAATTTACGTAATATTGCAAAAAATCATTTTCAGTATTCCCAGCTACTTTTTGGTTGCTTCTGGGGTTGAAGTAATTCACTAGCTGATAAAACAAAACTTCAATTCGTTTATTTTTACCTTATTTTTATTAGCTCGGGATGTAACTATGTAATATTGATGCGCCTAAAAGATGCAGCGATTTCTATTCTCAAGCTACAGTACGAATGGCAATTATAATAGGCAGGTTTTAGTTTTTTAAACTATAATTTAGATTTTTGTGTGGAATATGGCTGGAAATTATGTTACGTATACGCCATGCGTTTTATCAAACCTAAGAGGAAAACCACTATTGATTATACGAATTTTAAGCGTCTGGCGAACATTGATTTTTAATAATATTTTGTAAAACATATGTAAATACGTATGAAAAAAATACCACTCCTATTTTAACAATGGTAAGTAACGTTTTTACGTACTTTTCCTACCTGGTGCCTGTTAAAGGGGCGCTTACCCAGCAAGCAGATACCCATGCATTTTAAATTTTGTTACTTCCAAAATAAGTTTGGTCTGGTGGCCCTGCGAGCTTGGACTAAATATGCATATACATATAGCATTCCAAAAAGTCCGACTGGGTATGTGTATATTTTAAGTGCACATGATCTAACAAAATTATTATCCTTCTAGGATGTAATGGGTTCGCTTTTGGACAAGCTGTGCCTCTCAACAGGAGAAATATTTAGCCTTGTGCTAGAGCATGTGAAAAGTTTGAAGCGAAATAAACTCACATTGCTCGATCCTGAGGAATCTTTAGCGCGTGTAAATATATTTTATAAATGTTTACTGAAAATCTTTAATAATAAATTTTGGCATTATTATAGATTGCTGCACGACCAGGTGCGCACAAGCTGCGATGTCTATTTCGGGTAACTTTTGTGCCAATATCGGCAGCTGATTTAGCTCAAAAGGATCTAAATGCACTCGATTATTTGTATATGCAGTGCTGTAATGATGTTACTCAAGAGCGTTTTGCGCCTGAACTTCAACCGGAGGTTGCGTTAAGACTAGCCGCATTGCATATGCATCAGCATGCCTTGGCCAATAACGTTTCTCCAACGAAGTTGACAGTTAAATTTGTAGAGTAAATGAAATGTTTATACAATACTTAGAAAAATATATATGACTATCTTTTAATATTTTCAGGCGTGAGTTCGGCTTGGAAAGATTTGTGCCCATATCTTTGTTTGAAGGTATGAAACGAAAAGAGCTGAGACGCTTAATATCACATTTCTTAAAATTAAATGCGGAGATGACGGGATCATCAACCAAAGTTTTGACACAACTTCAGGTAATACTTATTGCTATTCTCAATTTTTCGAATTGGCACAAACTTACATAAGTAGGCATGTTTGTGCAAGTCTACCCAGCAGAATAGGTTCCACATGATTTTTAACTTTAACCGTTTGGTGCGTCTAGACGCATCTACTAGCTTATTCTCGAGTTATTTTTTGTAAATGCAGCGAAAATTATATTCAATTCAGACACAAACAACATCAAAATAAAAACATCGAGACCACCATTGGTAATGTTAAAAAAGAAACCAAGTAATATTTAATCGTACTCAAGAATAATTCCAGTCCAAGTTATTTGGGATTAAGGAGAAATTTAAAGTTAAAGCAAATGTTTATTAGTGCGATTTTCATTAATTCGACTAAAATTCGACTCCAAATGGACTTTAAGGAACTTTCAACAGCGCAATGATTTGAAAACTATGAAAAAATGTTTGCCTTTAGATTGTCTAGAGGACAGAAGGAAAGCATTCCGACCATTTCTCACAACGCTAAGGTCAGATTAACATGGTGTCTAGTCCTGCAGCGAAACATTTCGTATTTTCCTTCTCCTGGAATGGTGATTTAACAGCTTAACCAATTTAAGAAACACCATGCCCCACATCACTAAGTCTCTCTCCACCTAATCTTTCCAACGCAGATAAGCCTTCCTGCACAAGCGGGTACCGCTTCGAATACCCGTAAGGCTGGAGTAATTGAATTCATTCGTACGACGTGGTATGCTCTGGCTGCTGTATTCTTATTCAATGAACTAACTGCATATGTATGTAGATATGTATACCAATGTCGTTGTAAAGCTCATACAGTTAGTCGTTCTAAAGTCTCAGGTACCCGCCGTAACAAATGCATAAAGAGGCGCCACCTTCTTAGATTATGTCAAGATTGTGGTAGGTGTTATTGAGTTGGATTCAAATTATCAACTTATTTCAAAGCGGTTTACGATGTTGCGATGTTTATATAAGCGCTCATACAAGCCACCACATATCGACGGTCGCTCCCCTTTGTGTGACAACATCAAGGCGCACGCCACAATTTGGAGGAGAAGCTCGGCCAAACACTAACATATGTGTAAGCGCCAATCTATTATTATTATTATGTTGCTATCACTAACCATTTTTCGATAATTTTCGATTCCACTATTAATAGGAGCGTTCCTTATCTCCCAGAAATAGTCCGAAGTAGTCAGATTTAGTCCAAAAAGCGTTCCTTAACTCGGAAATGACAGCAAAAATGAGAGAGCAACAGTCAGTGAGAGTGACTCTCATCAGTCCGAAGTAGTCAGATTTAGTCAGAAGAATTTTTTCTGGCAAAATCCTGAAAAGTGTCAAACTCAACTGAATTTAAATTAACGGAAATTAAAGAATACACAAAAAGTGAGAATAATCTAAAAAGTAAAAAAAGTGAATTGAAATTGGAAGGAGGCAAAAATAATTGATATAGTCAGTGTTTATTGTGCTTGTGCTTGTGTGAAGGTGTTTTGTACATACATTTACATTCTTATTTGACGTTAGCTTTGTTGTTGCCATTCTTTGGACTAAAAATTTGGTTTTTTGCGTTCCTTTACTTTTCCTGTTATTCTCTTTTAGTGAGCGCATTTTGCTTACGCTCTGACATTTTGACACTTTTCAGATTTTAGTGCAAAAAGATAAGGAATGAACCTAATAAATGAATAGTAAACTGAAATTCTCAGTGCAGTTACAATTTAGTGCAGGGTGCAGTACAAATTCAAAAAACTGATATCGGGCTCTGAAAATTCAATAAAATAAAGATCAAATATTACTTGAATGCTTATTTCGTAAATAAAGTCGCAAGAAAATATATACTTGTATTTTAATCTGGTGTCTTATGACGTTTTTGTTGGACGTTTAAGAAAAAACTTGTCAATTATATTGAACCTATTCTGCTGTAAGTTCATACTTACATATGTACATGCATACGCAGTACTTATACTTGACTGACATGAATTATTTTAGGCGAAATTACACTACTTAGATATTATTGCAAGTTTACCAAGCTACGGCGCCAAATGTTTCAGCACAAACCAAAGAGAAGGAGTCGAGCGTGTTTTACTTGTTAGCCCGAGGTTTGGTTTGAGTCAAATATCCAGTACCAGAAATTCGGTGGTAAGTATTATTTCACATATACATATGCAATGGATGTATGTATTATGGATGTTAATTTTTTCGCTTTTTACGATCTTGGCATTTTGTTTGAGAATCTCTCCAATCATTAAAATAAAAAATAAATAAATCGGTTTGAAACGTAATTTTTTATTTAAAGTGAAAATTATTTCATAAGTAACAAAACCAAAGACAGTAATTAAATGTATACGCATTTAATAATACTTTGCGTATACATATCTGATAAAGTAACTTAAGGTTATTATTTAAAAAATTCAGTGCATTGTAGAATAAAAAAATGGGAACCAAATGAAAGGCGGAATTTCTTTAGAATTAAAAAAAAAATAAATATTTTGGATTCACGACGGGGACAAATAGGTAGTTTCTTTAATTGAATCTGCTTAAATTCTACAGAATTTTCTCTTTAATTTGGTACCCATATTTTTTCGCTAGGCGTATTTCACTGATTTTTGTTTAATCATTTTTGAATTACTCATGTCAGAACAAAAAACTAAAAACCCAATTTTACTATATTTGGCTCATGGTTTCGCGAATATATTTATTTTTTGTGCGTAAAATTGACTATCGCACGGTGTTATATGTAAAATGAGCTAGACATTTATAAAAAAATATTAATTATTGAATAAAAAAGAAGAAATATAGCAACCACTGGTCCACAAAAGGAGTTTCTATTATTGCCATAATAGGCATATACAACCTTTTTATGTAAAGTACGAACAAATTTCCCAAAAGGGCTAAAAAAGGGCCAGGGGCAATTTTAAATTTATGTGGCCAAAAAAAGTATGTGGTAGCTAAATCTAGCCACCAAAAGGCTAAAACGGCAACACTGGTTCTATGTCACGTATTACCTCTTGTGCTTAATTGATCTGTTATGTCTATCTGATCGCTTATGGCAACCGTTCATTTTTAGCAGCCAAAGGTAGACAGTTTTATCATTTGTTTATTAGGGTGTAACGATTTATAGATGCATTCCGGTGCACGTAAGATACCATCTAAGGGTCAAGGGTACTAATAGACATAGACCGTTTTGCAGTATCACCGACGATATGCTGTTTATCAGACCAGCGCTGACAATTGTTAGGTCTGGCGAGCTGATCTGTAACAAAGTTGAATTGGTGTGGAGCTTCGTCTTTTGGACCGCAGTTATTAATATTCAATGCCGGCCTATGAAGACGGTTGTCTCCTTGGGTGCATTTCTTATAAAAAAAAAAAAAACATTTGCCGTTCGGAGGCGGCGTAAATCTGTAGGTCCCTGCTCTTTATGTGACAACATAAGGCGTGCGCCACAAATCTAAAGAAAAGCTCGGCCAAACAATGGCCAAATGTTTTTTTAGTTGAAAAAAGCATGTGCCATGTGAAAATAAAATTTTTTTCAAACTTAAACAGCATTATTTACGTGTAAATTTTCCTTTTACTGACCCACATACTTACATACATATTATACATATAACTAAATAGAATGCTTACACATGTAATACTCATGTATATACTCATACAATGTTTTACGTGATATATTTTTTTCGTAATTTTTTTATAAGAATATAATACATACCATATCGTCGCTCGAATAAAGAAACAGTGTAAATGCCACATACACTATTATTCGATAATTGCACCATTGGATAGACAATCCTGTAATCTATTAGAAAAATATTTAGTTTTCTTAAATATCTCTTTGGCTCACTAACCCTGCAAACCAAAATTCCAGAAATCTTAAGGAAATCGTTAGGAGTATCTCATTTCTGTAACGATTTTTTTTACGAATTTTCAAAGAAAATTATATGAAGAGGTTGACACGAACTCGTAAAGAAATTTCTGTACGAAAAATAAAGAAAATTCTGGAAAAATTCTGAAAGATATTCTTCACATAGCAGCATTATTTTCGTTGCTTCACAGATTTTCTTCCGAAATTTCGTAAAAGAATGGAAGTGTGCGTAATTTATTTCATTTTAGAAAATTCGGCAAAAAATCGAATTAAATCTTAACGGATTCTTTAAAATTTCTTTACAATGCAGAATACTCTGAAAAAATGGTTTGCAGGGAATTTATTCCCGAAAAACGAAATTGTATTTGTATGGTTTGTAATGGTTTATAAAAACTTCCAATTCGTTTTTCTCAAAACTATACTTTTCATGTTACACTATTTCATTATTCCAGCGACGATATATGGAAGTCAAAGTTTAGCGCCTCTGTAAATGTATGTTTCTAGGTATTTAGTAAAAACCCTATAATATTTCTGATATGCTTCATTATTTTTGATACAGCCCCAGCCCATATCGGCTATTGAGGATTTTAGTCATGTCATTGTTAACCGAGACGATGACGTTACATGCAATGTGGTCATATTTATGCAAGGTGACAAAGTTGTGAAATTTTCGATGGAGGACCGCGATGCATGTGAATTTTCACTAGTTTTGGCTGGGTATTATCGATTGCTGACAGGTACGACTTTGTATTCATTGAATTTCTGTTAATATGAGTTTAACATAATTTAAAATATACTTATTTTTATTTAGGGAAAAGGCTCCCATTAGAGCGAGAAAAGGAACCAAATGATGAAGACAACGCACCTTCATATTTATCACAACACACTGTATTGCCCGCAGCTTGGAGCTATTTGTTGCCCTTACACAATAGAGCGCACAGCATAAACTTTCTCATGACACCACCATATCATCCGACAAATAAAAAGGAGAAGTTGTCTGCTACTGAAAGTCCAGATGCAATCGGACCGTCTGACGTTAACTACTCCAGCATTACGGATATTAAACCAAAACCAAAGAGCGTTTCATTTGTTAGTAACGCTGCGATGGATCTGGATATTCACAGTGTTATGGCGACAGAGTTACTAGAGGAAGCAAAGGATTCTGGCATGAGCGATAGTAGTGGAGGTGGAAGTAATTATTGTGAGCAATCAAACTGCTCGAATACAAATGATTTTATTGAGGCTAAAAATGAAGAGGTGCTTCGGCGCGTGCATGAAATGCAGAAAATGGTGGAAAACTCTGAACAGTATTTGAACGAACAATGCGAGTACGTTCAAGATTTTGCTACCCGCCAGAAATCATCTGGGAACTTTAATTATTTCGGCCGAATAAATTCATGGCAAAATGATTTGTTAAATGCGGAACAAATCGCGAACAAATGGGGCGGTACAATAGAGTTCGACAGCGATTGCGAAAGCATAAACAGCAGTAAGGTTTCTTCAACAGAGGATACCCCACAACCAGGTGCCCTTAAGCATAGCGACTCCTTAGTGCTTTTAGCAGAAGCTATTAATCAGGATATTAATGGCATAACCCAGAGCTTAAAATCTATCGGTAGCAATAGTCAGGATTTAGTAGCAACCAGTGCAAGTGTTAGTGAGGCGTCCAGTCCGCGCTCCGAACGAAAATTCAACAATCTCGGGCAAATACTTAGCAACTTACAAGCAAGTGCCGACTTTTCCCAAAGCGAGAGTGATTCTGAATCGGTTAATTCTCCAACAAACTCACCAACAGCACGTCGACCAATAATTCTGTACCCGGGAGAAACCAGAATCAGCTCTAAAAAGAATTTAGCATATCGTAGTAGCTTCGGCCTACATAGTCCCGATGGCAACAATTTCGGTCCCGATACCAGAGACTATAATTTGAAAGAATATTTAAAGCAACTCAAGGAGATAAGTAATATTGAAGATCGAAATCACGATACCGATATTGCTGCGAAGAAACTGTCAGAAATTTATGGTTTTGAAATACGTGCGGACACATTTATTGAAACTGATGCTGATTTAATTGATCTACGATCTATACCGCCTCCACGAACCCCCGATGAGTTAGACTCGATTACCTTGCTGACTGCAGCACCACACGGATTCGGTGATGGATCCAAAAAGACATCTATACCTGATGTAGACGGCGATTTAGATAAATTTTTAGCGAAAGTAATAGTTGCACCGCCGACTCAGAGAGCTACGCCTGCTAAAGAGCTAACACCAGAGGAAATAATGTCATTTATTATACCACCACCACCTAACCTAGAAGAGATTGAAAATTCGAAACAGGAGCATAATTTATCAGAAAAGCAAACCGAAGGCTTATACAGTAACTCTATATTAGAAACAGGAGAAAAAGCTAAAACTAAATCTTTCGAAAGAATTGACACAAACCGGTCACTCAAGGAAGTGAATTCTAAAGAATTTAATGTGGGTAAAGGAGGACACGTCATCGAATATGCAACAGTTGAAAGAAAAGGAACATTTTCATGTTGCCCTAAGTCTAAAAAGGAAGATAATTTCAATGAATCAGAATCGGCAAATATAAGCCTGAAGTTACCCCCTCGTTCGCAATCTATAGAAGCATCACCTCCACCCATTCGGCCTCCTAAAAGTGCAGAACTAATCAAGCGATTTTCACCAAAGAAACAACAAGGCTCTATTGGAATATTACCGAAAGTGGAAACAGTTACAAAACCGGAAATGATAATGCAGACTGAAACACCACCTATCCTACCGCCAAGAATTTGTACTTCCAGCCGCGAAGAGGAAAGTCGTTCCCCTCCACCGGTGAGTGAAGCCCCAAAAAAGCCACCTCTACCGCCAATAGCCCACCGTCCTACTCCGCGAAATGCACCAGTTAATACAACATACTCTATGAAGAAAAGCGTTTCACCAGTCCCGCCACAAACACCTCCTCGCATTTTCCCGGCGTCTAGTCCTAGTTCAAATTATTCCAGTAGCTTACAACAGCATCACCTTATTACCCCGTCAGCTATTGGTTATCAAAGATCCGCCACTGATTACTCCTCGACCTACCTTCAGAATTCAGTAAGCGATAAATGTCCATTCTCTTTGGTCTGCTCTCCACAAATGGCACGAAAAATAAAAACTCCTGGACCTGTCGCCGTTCCTTTGAATCCCAACACAACACAAAAATTCGGCGAAAAATATATTATAAAAAATGGACACGTTATTGACAGCGAAGCACTGCTGGCCAAAACCGATTTAGCAATGTCAGGACTTATGGTAAAACTAGATCAAGTAGCCGCTCAGTGTTCAGCAGCGCAACTTGCTGGTGGTGGCATTAGAATTGATGAAGATAAATTCCAGCGGGCGCGAAATGAACTGACCGAACAAACATTAGTTTTGGTGACTGCGTCAAAATTCTTGGTGGTGGCTATGTCCGATATGACGTTATCATCATTGCCAGAACATCTCACTTCATGCCTCACAGCGATCCGGCGTATCACCGAACTCACTCAAGATATGACGCGCCATACCTCATCACCTCTGCAAACCCGTAACATCGTACTCAAAGTGCATGACGTGGCTTCCAGTTTCAGAGAACTAGTAGGTGTAAAAATAGGTCCACTTGGCGCAGGACCACTTGCATTACAGGCTGAATGCTTAGCTAACGTCTTAGCTACATTACTTCGCAGTTTACGAGTCTTCTCACCATGATTTCTTACATAATGATAAGTTCAACCAACAGAATAAATGTCACGCATTTATGAAATCTATGACGCGATTTAAAAACACTAATACGTCGGTTAGTTACCAACGATTGTAACTGTATTGTTATAACTATAAGCCATATACATACGAGAACTTTAAAATATAGGATATGCTTTGCATGCGTTAGGGCAAAGAATCGGAATCGGAAGATATCAAGGCACATTAAACAGGTAGTATCAAGGTGTATTTAACAAGGTGCTGTTGGGGCAACAGCTGAGTTTTTCGCCGTGGAGGGCATTACGTCAAAATTATGTATTTGTTGTAACTCATACCAATGGCAGTATGGATAACTGCGTATAATTTGTTAGTGTAATTTTTTACTTATATACGGCTAACACCACCTTGTTAAATACGCCTTGGGTAGTATCATTAGAGCAGCTGATTTGATTTTTATTTTTTCAAATTTGGTCTCGAAAATGTCAAATATTTTTAATCTATTCTAACAAAAATTCTAAAATTCTAAGTACCCTGTAACTTTAAAGCTCACTTTATATTTAAAGTTTGCATTAAAACGGATGATTGTGTCTAAAGTAAAGCATTTTATTATCGGTTTGAATTGGTTTACAACCAAGATACATATGTACATGCGTAAAATTCTTAACGTTAGTCCTAGCTTTATATTTAATCCAACCTTTAAATATAAAGTGTGCTTTAAAGTTAAAGGTTACATCAGAAAACGGCCCTAAGAAAGAAAGTCGCAATTTAAATTTTTTCCAATTTCAATTTTTTATTTGTTTATATTTTTTTTGTATTTCACATGGCACGCTTTGATTTAGAAGAAAAAAGCTGAACAATTGTTGACACTTTCGATACCGAAAGCAACAACAAAATACACGCACCTGTTTGATATGCCTTGGAAGATATCGAAAATCAACTAATCAATTTATTAGATTAAGCCAAAATTTTTTAATTGTTAATACAATATTCCACATTTCAAGGAATACACATACATATGTATCTATGCACATACATAAAAAATTAATTTTTTAACAGTTTGTGTTATTTATGTAATACTCCTATATTGGCAGTAACAGCTAGTACCGTCCGAAAACATTAGAGTAAAGACATAAATACATATAAACAAACACGTACACATACGCGTACATGTACGTTTACCCAGTGGCAAAATGTGGAACCATTACCTTTCTCTGTCCAGAAAAGATTAACAACTACGGTTGAACGAAAAGATGCATCGCAATATAAGCGAGCGGATGAAGTGTAGCTTTGAAGTCATAAACAAAACAAAAAATTTTAAAACTAACTCAAGCGTGTTTCTTGTTCACGTTATCCCCACAGCTGCTGTAGCCGAATGGAATCATGTTCGACTGCCGTGTTGTTGGTCACGGGTTTAAAACCTATGGCACGCACTTTATTCTTTATTTCTATATATGTATATATATTTTTTTAAATTCTATTCACAGTTTCGTAAAGCGACATACGACACACTACTTTCGTATGACATCGCTGTGGGGATATTCTTGCAGCTTTTCGTGCATAGGTTAGCCCCTATAAGCATTACTTTTATAACCACGTTCACAATACAAACTCAGAAACTGTACTCACGTATACAACACATACACAAAAACTGTACTCACGTACATAATACATATACCTTGTTTATACCAACGCAAGAAACGTATTGACAAAAAACTGATTTGACTCAACACATATTTCTTGCAAGCATTTATACCTGTGTGGTTATAGCGAACTCGCATAAAACCGTATTCAAAAGTAAACAAAATATGTTATTTTTATTCGATATTTTCTTAATAATTAATTTGCGCGGTGGATCGAAATGAAAGCGAACCAGAATTTAAATTTCTTATAATAATAATTCAAATTTAAAACGGGCTGTATAAAGAAACCCCGCCTTTTTTTCACTTCGCGTCAAATGAGTGATGTGTTTATACCTGTTCTCTAAACGATGTGAGAAATAAAAAAGCGATTTGAAAACAAATTCGAGTCAACACACTTTTGAATTTCTGAGCGTATTGAAAGTTGATTTATGCTTCCGTTTTGAATCCCAGCGAACTGGGTCAAAGCGCTTAATTGTCGGTATAAACAAGATAATACACAAAAACGGTACTAGACTTTCGTTTTGATTTCGAAATTTTTACACATTGAGAAGATAGCTTACCGCCATTATAGAAGTATTACATATATGGTGCATGTATACAAATACACTATATGTATTTATATATATATATATATATATATATATAAAACTCTACTCACGTATATATATGTATACATATATCTATCACGGAAATGTTAAAATCGAACGTACGTACATGGCGTATGAGTTACTGAGATGTGATGAGAATGATACTCATACGCCATGTACATACGTTTGATTTTTAACTTTCGTGATAAATGGTAGATCCAGGATCCGCCGTTTTGAATTTTTAAAAACGCCAAACGGGATTTAAAAATATACCCTTTAGACTATTTTGTTCAAAACTGTTTCCAACTTTTTAAGTCAAGCCAAAAATGGCAAAGAACGTCCCGTATATATGTACATACACATATACATACATACATACATATATAAATATTTATGGTCTTTATGCAGATACAAAATGTCAGCTATTTAATTTAAAGTTCTGAAAGATAAAGACGGAAATTTAAAGAATTTGTTTGGTGCTTCATGTGTTGGCCGACCAAATTGTCCAAGTAAACTCCAACTTAAGTCGCGTTTGTTAATTTTCTTGTGAACAATTCATCGTACGTATGGACATTCGCTTATCTATGCATGCATGTGCCGCTATACAAATGAGTCTGTGTATTCGTGCATTTCACAAACAATTATAATTTTTTTCCTCCTCTTTCATCTAAATTTTGGCAGTTGACTACAAATATACAACTTGACAGATGATAGTTTGGGCGTTTAAACTTAGTTTAACTACTTAGTTTGACTAAAAAACTGCACACTGAGTTTGAACTTGGTTTACACGACAAACAGAGTTAAACTCTCTTTGAAAAACTGGCCTTTAGTCGTTAAGTCAGTTGCCACACGGAATNTAAGTTGCTAATAAGGTATTATTACGTGCTCCTAATTCCCACTGGGAAACAATTATAATTTTTTTCTTCCTCTTTCATCTAAATTTTGGCAGTTGACTACAAATATACAACTTGACCGATGATAGTTTAAACTCGGTTTAAGCCAGCCAGATTGGACGTTTAAACTTAGTTTAACTACTTAGTTTGACCAAAAAACTGCACACTGAGTTTAAACTTGGTTTACACGACAAACACAAACAGAGTTAAACTCTCTCTGAAAAACTGGCCTTTAGTCGTTAAGTCAGTTGCCACACGGAATATTTTAAATGGTATACAAATAATTATAAAACATTTTCTCAATACCCTCTGAAAATTGCGCGTGCCTATCATACGGGAAAGTCTTTCGAGACGTTTCTGTAAAGGCTGGTTGCCAGAATAAAGAATGCGATGACTAAAAAGCAGTTCAATTTCGGCATACAGGTGGCAGAGATGCCCTAGAATAGTACGTCACCATTTCCTCTGCCGAGTAGATTCCATAAGGTTCAGTTCCCTAAGCCTGAATGCTGGCTTAATTCCAAGACCAAGCCCTGGTTCTTATATTGATGACTGCAAACGTGACACTCAACATCTGGTGTAAATATCGAATACGCGTCGGGGGAATTTGGCACGGTACTCCAAGCCGAGATATTAGCATTCCCCTCGGCCATGCACTAATTGGTATTAAATAGGTGGAAATGCACGAGTTTACGTCAAGGCATTGGCCAGCCCTCTTAACTATTTCCAGACTCTTTCGGCAATGCAAGTCTCGACTAAATTATGTTGAAAAACATATCGAATTTGTGTTACTCTGGGTGCCGGGTCACTCGTTAGTACCTGGNCAAGACCAAGCCCTGGTTCTTATATTGATGACTGCAAACGTGACACTCAAGATCTGGTGTAAATATCGAATACGCGTCGGGGGAATTTGGCACGGTACTCCAAGCCGAGATATTAGCAATCCCCTCGGCCATGCACTAAGTGGTATTAAATAGGTGGAAATGCACGAGTTTACGTCAAGGCATTGGCCAGCCCTCTTAATTATTTCCAGAATCTTTCGGCAATGCAAGTCTCGACTAAATTATGTTGAAAAACATATCGAATTTGTGTACCTCTGGGTGCCGGGTCACTCGTGAGTACCTGTCAATGAGGCATCTGATCATTTGGCCATAGAGGGCTCAGACCAGGTATTCCTCGGTCCGCAATAAGTTATTGCACGCCCACCTTCGCCGAGACGAATATCTAGGCTTTTTAACACCCAACTATATGCTTCGATCTATTCCGAAACCATGAAGATTTAAGCCATACTAAAGGGAACATGAAAACAGTACTTGGCGGGTGGGCGGCATATAACATGAGTGCTGTTTTCTGTGTGCGTTGTTTGGTGTATTTAGTTCCGAGAAAAAAAAGTGCCCTGCGACTAATTACTTTTCTATTAAGTTTGATCAAGCGTGTGGAGACTCGTATATGGCGTATAAGTAACATTATTTTCAGCTCGTACGTACGAGTATTGCACACAAAAAAATAAATAAAAAAATCGTAGAATTTTCCAATAAATTACGCGAAATATTAGTCGCAGCGTAGAATTTTTTTCGTTTACAAAATGATACTTATTTCATTTTGGCATGTCAAACGGGAAACAAACAGTCAGTTATGGAATTAATTCAAAGTATGGTGACAGATTAGCTGGTCTTATCCGTGAGGCTTTCTATATATCGTCACTACACACGAATAAAGGCGCGATAGTGTTTTGACGGCGAAAAAAGGCGCATAAAAAAATTTTGCGAGAAAATATGCTTATGAAAAACTTCGGCGAAGTATGTTTTTGACGCGAAAGTTTTTTATGCGTCTTTTTTCGCCGTCAACTTTTGAGCTCGCGCCTTTATTCATGTCTAGTGACGATATAAAATAAGTGTTCTTAAAATTAAAGCTCTGTTATCTGTACAATCAATCATTTTTTCTGTTTTCAAAATAAGGGAGATCAGGGTTTCAACATTAATGTGGTTATTTAACGCTGAGGTCGGTGTTATGCAGACAAACTTGTGTTTTGGCAAATTAAATGGCGGCTGCGTAGTTTGCTCGGAGGTGATTATGTCGAGTTTGGCACAGGGTTGCACGCTGATTGTGGGTTTCTTGGCAATAACACGAAATGAAAGTTTCAGATGTACACATCGTGTACAAATTAATATTTT